AAGATCCCTGCAGTAAATGAATGCAGCTAGTAGCTAAATTCTACGAGTAAATATCCATCTATGGGAAGAAATAGTTGGCGTACAGTACCTTTTGTTCTCAATCAAGATCGATTCAATGTGCCATCAAAGTCCAGGGTAGCTGTCGTCGATCATCGCCAAGACACAGCTGAGACAAATCGCGGGGACTAGGGCAAAGATAAGCAATGCCTCGGGTTCCTGGCAGGGCAACCAAGCTAAGCTACAGTGAGCTAGGAGCCTATAGCTCCAGGTCCCAGCATCATCACGTCACAAGCTTGTATCACCTGGGCTCCAGTCAGGACCATGTCTTAACCAGAACCCTCCCCTTCCATCCTCCTCCCTCTCTCCTTCACAACAACAAACCTCAACATGACGACAAAGGGCCTTTGCTTAGTCGCCGCCACGGCCGCTCTCCAGGGCGTGTCAGCTCTTCAGATCCCTCTTAACCTTCAAGTCCCCAAGCTCTCTTGGAATCTCTTCGGCGATGATCTTCCTCTGGTCGATACCAAGGAATTGCAGAAGAGCATCAAGCCTGAGAACCTTGAGGCTAGAGCAAAGGATCTGTATGAGATTGCCAAGAATGGAGAGGAGGAGTATGGACATCCGACTCGTGTCATCGGCAGCGAAGGTACGTTCTCCGAGATCGGACTGTTATCATGAACGTAATGACTGATTGTTCTCAAGGCCATCTCGGTACGCTGTCGTACATCCATGCTGAGCTCGCCAAGCTAGGCGGCTACTACTCCGTCTCGAACCAGCAATTCCCCGCTGTTTCGGGCAATGTCTTCGAGTCGCGTCTCGTCATCGGCGACTCTGTTCCCAAGCAGGCATCGCCCATGGGTCTGACTCCTCCGACTAAGAACAAGGAGCCCGTCCACGGAACGCTTGTCCTCGTCGACAACGAAGGATGCGACGAGTCCGATTATCCCGAGGCCGTCAAGGGCAACATTGCTCTCGTCCTCCGTGGAACGTGCCCCTTTGGCACAAAGTCCGGCAATGCTGGTAAAGCGGGTGCTGTTGCTGCCGTTGTGTATAACTACGAGAAGGACGAGGTTCATGGAACTCTCGGCACCCCTTCGCCTGACCATGTTGCTACATTTGGTCTTGGCGGTGAAGAGGGCAAAGCTGTTGCCAAGAAGCTCAAGGATGGCGAGACTGTCGATGCCATTGCTTACATTGACGCTGAGGTCAAGACCATTTCCACCACGAACATCATCGCCCAGACTCGTGGTGGTGATCCCGAGAACTGTGTTATGCTCGGCGGTCACAGTGACAGTGTTGCCGAGGGACCTGGTATCAACGATGATGGATCCGGCAGTATCTCTGTGCTCGAGGTCGCCGTCCAACTGACCAAGTACCGTGTCAACAACTGCGTCCGCTTCGCCTGGTGGGCCGCCGAGGAAGAAGGTCTCCTCGGCTCCGACCACTATGTGTCCGTTCTCCCTGAAGATGAGAACCGCAAGATTCGTCTCTTCATGGACTACGACATGATGGCCAGCCCCAACTTTGCTTACCAGATCTACAACGCCACCAACGCCGAGAACCCCAGGGGTTCAGAGGAGCTGCGCGATCTGTATGTCAACTGGTACGAGGAGCAGGGCCTCAACTACACCTTCATCCCCTTCGATGGTCGCAGTGACTACGATGGTTTCATCCGTGGTGGTATCCCCGCTGGTGGTATCGCCACAGGTGCCGAGGGTGTCAAGACAGAGGACGAGGTAGAGATGTTTGGCGGTGAAGCCGGTGTCTGGTATGATAAGAACTACCACCAGATCGGGGATGATCTGACCAATGTGAATTACACCGCGTGGGAGGTGAACACCAAGGCAAGTCGCACCCAGCCAATGTCTTGTTCAGAAACCGTGACACTAACACAGAACAGCTCATCGCCCATTCCGTTGCAACATACGCCAAATCGTTCAAGGGTTTCCCCGAGCGAGAGATTGAGACGTCTGCCCAGGGTTACTCTGACAAGACCAAGTACCACGGTAGCAAGCTCTACATTTAAGTACGGGAGTGAGTTCTTCGTTAGAATCGAGTAGCAAGAATAGCATAGCATAGCACAGCACAATGAGTAATGGGTGATTGGTTAATTTGAATGGATATCTCTACGTTGAAATTGCAAATGCCTAGCTAAATCGACTCCAAGTGAAACGACGCAAGAAAACAAAAAAACATCATTACACGTAATAACCGTTTGGTAAAAATGCCCGTCTAAGTCCTCCAACCGGTCCTGTAGCCAGACATGGCCTGAGATGCCTCGCACTATTTCCCACCTAAACACCGACTTTGCAAGTTTTCATCTAATAAGATGACGATCCACTAGGGATAGATTGATAGTTACTGATTGATAATGGGTCTCATCGAGCTGAAGCGAGATCATACGGAGTTCCCATCAAGACACCGCCAGTTGGAAACTCACAGCTCCCAGTCTGCGAGGGAATCATCTCGGTGTAGTACTCAAAATCATCACGCAGCTCCCTCAGCTCGATGGGCAGAATGACCTTGGATAGAGCCTTTGGGGTGGTGAGCTTTGAGAGGGTTCCGGAGTAGGGGGCGGGTCTGTGCCCCACATTGGCGGGGGTGATCTCGGGGCTATCGGGGGTCTGGGTGCCCGGTCCCGTTGTCTTGGCAGCCGAGGATCCGGGGCGACTCTGTCGCAATCGAGCAGAGAGGTTGACGTTGAATGTGAGAAGTCTCGCAACGCGATGCGCCAGCTCGTCGCGACTGTTCTTTGCGTCCTTTTCCCCCGGGCTTTTTTGGCACGTGTTAGCAAAAAGAATGCACTTGTTCATCTAGCGGCCCGTGTGCTGCGTCGCTTAACTTACCAGTTGACTATAGTCATCATCATAGCATACGAAAGATTATGCCATCTCAACCTCGCACACAGAGCCTTGATCCTCTTCTCGAACTGCTTGGCGGCATCTTCAGGCGTGGTCCTATTGGACTGCTCGTCGAGGGCACAGCATAGCGACGAGAGGCGTGTGAAGGCGAGGACGGTGTCTGTGAGGGTGGCGACGAGGGTGTCGAGAGAGATCCAGGCGGCGCGGGCGGGGAAAGGGATCTGGTTGTTCTCCATGAGGTTGAGGGTCTTGTAGAAGGCGTGGACGGAGGATCGACACTCCTTGACCTCGCGGAGGAGGATGTTGAGGATGGCGGTGTCGTGCTGCGGCGAGATGTTGAGGTCGCTGAGGATGTCGATGGCAGCAGCGCCGACGTCTAGAAGGCCTGTAATGGCGGTTGTGGTAGGGAGGCCGACAACGGCGGGATCCATGTCCATGTCGGCCTGCAGAGCGGAAGGCATCTATCGCGGTATCATTCAATGGTGAAGGTCCCAGTGTTAGGTAATCAATTGTCGAAAGAAGCAACGAAACGAATTGATTTGTAGTGAGGTGAGGCTCAAATCAAGATGCAGATGTAAGTGATGTAAAGGCCAAAGGGTCCTGAAGTAGACGGGATGGAAATTCTTGGCAGAGGCTTCTAGGCCCCCTTTGGCTTAAATGGAAGTTCAAGCCAAGCCCCCAGGTCCAGGTCCAGTTCAGTTACAGGAATTTGTAAACGGGGGGGAGCACAGCGCGAGAAGAAGCGGGAGGGGGTGGCCGTCTAAAAGCAGGAACCGAAAAAGCGAGAGAGGATGAGAGAGGCAGGGGGAACAACAGGTAGATAGATGTAAGTAAGCCCCAGGGCTGGGCTGGGCTGGGCTGGGCTGGGAGGGGGTAGGTATTATTTTTAGGCGCGAGCCAAGGGGAAAGAAGGCGAAAAAAGAGTGCGAAAGTCTGGAAGAGACGGCACCTGAAAGGGCCCCAGAGGCGCCGCAGTTTCAAAGGCAAGGCAACTTTCAATAGGCAAGACGATGAAGCCGTACTTCCGAGACAGCAACAGGCTTGTCCACTAGCGGATGAGGTTGAGTGGAGGGTGGGATTGGGGAATGGCCTGGCCCCCCCTTGGAGAGGAATTTGTGGTGCCGAGAAGCGAGTTGGAGTGACATGCATCTAATTTAGACAAGATATCTGAGCACAAATGTCAAGGTATGAACGATGTGTGATTGTAGACGGTAAAATATCACCATTCAACACTCTATATCTGTATATCTTCTTCTATTCTGTTATCCTCTGCATCTGAGCTATTGTGTCTGTTCGTTCATATGCTCCCTCGTAAATACCATGCAAACCAATATCAGACTAAAAACTGGGCGTTTAGAAAAGGTGGATGTCGACGTGCCGACTTGCCGGGGTCGATTGGGCGCGATCGGATACCGGCACGGCGCGGTGAGATGATGCTATTTGCCCACTTTTCCCTCTCTTCACTCACTATCCTCACTGTATTTCGTTTATATTTCCAACTATCGGCATATATATTTCGCATTTCGAGTCATGGACTGAACATCACTCTCGCTCTGGAGCCGATATCCGAATCATACGTGTATTCGCTCTTCCTGAATTACGTGGCTGAACTATCCGCATATGTTGCTTGCAGCCTCAAACAATAGTCCACGCGCCTAGCTGACGTACGATTTGCATACATAGCATTGTTTCTCTTATTTCCTAATTCCATTGCGTGTCACGGGTTTCTTCTCATTCACTAAAGGGATCGACTGATACCAATAAACTCAAACGGCTCTGACGGCACATCCGAGCCCCTTGAAACATTTCTTAGACCTTTTTGTCTTTGTTTATTCTCCGTCAACTTGCCTACGTATGCACTGACTGACTAATGATTCAGTTCAGTATCAATCAATCTAATTTATCCCGGGTTGATCTTGATCCAAAACTCCGGTTCGCCGCATAAATTCAAAGTCAAAGTCACGAATAACTTTCCCAGTCAATCCGTACTCCGTCCTTGATGCCGTTTCCCGTGCCGTGCCGTCCCATCCATATCTCGGTCCAAGCGTCTTTCGCCTACTCTACCACGGCCCGCATGCAATATCATCATGCCCATGACTTACACGCGTCTTTCCACTGTGGATATCGTATCGGGGATCCTCAGCGCTCGGAGACGGGCTGATCGCTTGATGACATCTCAGCGCTGTCGTCCTGATCCATAGAGCTCAAGTTCTGTGAGGCACTGGACGACGATGCAGCCGTTCTATTCTCCACAATCCTTCTCAGATAATCGTTGTCCGCTGCCACATACTCCGCATATGTTCGGGGGGGCCATGCATCATCATTAAGGTGGGCAGCCGTATACGCATCCGCATTATCAACAAGCTCGTCAAAGGTAGGCATATCAGCTGGTCTAGTAAAACGCCGTTCTAAGAGGTCATTCAAGGGCCTGAATTGCTCAAGAATTGCAGCCGCCGACCCCTCTGGATGGTTTCGAGCTGGTCTTGCTGTTGTCTGTGATGCTGCTCTGGGAGCTGCAGAACGAGACTGATCTGCCATAGACCCTGCAGCTGGTCTGGCCGCTTCGCCTGTCGCTGGAGAAGAATTGCCCTCCCGTGCTAGAAACTCAGCCCAGCGTCTAAGTTCGTCAGCATCGGGTGGCTGCCTATTATCATCTTCAGCTGATCCAGCTGTCTGTCTTGCTTCGCTGGGAGGTGCAAAGACAGGAAACGGTACTTGCCTTGAAGCCCTCATCAGTTCATCTGTGTCTCGAGGCACTGCTTCTACTTCTCCTCGAGCTCTTCTTTCTCCTCCTACCTCTGGTCCCCAAATTGCTCGGACAATGGGGCTTACATTGTCGGGTCGTGGTGCTGCTGAATCTGGACGCGCGACGCCGTTCTGGACACCAGATGGTCCATTGGACCTAGGAGGCGGCGAATACACCGCATGTATCATGCCAGGGGCAACGCCCGGGCGGGCATAACCAGTTCGTAGCAGTGGTGGATTATGCTGGACTTCAATACTATCACCCACCCTGAGCACAAAAGGATCTCGAACCAGATGAGGGACACCAGCAGGAGTGTTTGCACGAGGCTCCGGGTCATCGTCCGAGTCAAAGCCGATAACCCCCACACGACGGTTTTCCTGATGGCTGTTGTTCTCAGCGTACCATGGATTCGCCTGTCGCAGTGTATTCCCCCGGCCAAGCGTAACCATGCGACGACTCTCCATCATGTTTGAAAACTCCTGCATGATGGTATCAGAAACCGCTTCTTGAACCCTGCCCTCTGTAGCAACACCGCCATCCTTCTCAATGTCATTAACAACATGGTAGAAGAGGCTGACAAACCCAGGCTCCAAGTCATCTAGATTACGAGGCCACTCACCGTTCTCAACGGCCCTGTGAAACTCAACCTCAGCTTGACAGTCAGGACAAAACTTTTGAGTGCCCTCAGGAATACCTGGGGGAAGACTAGATCCTTCGCCATTCTTGGGGATAGTGAGGGGGATCGCGTTTACTTCACACCGAATGCAGATGAGAGTGGTTCGGCACGCAGGGCACCGGTTTCCCAACTCACTCTGCTCCCATGTTTCACGGCATGGCTGGCAGAGAACATGACCGCAGAGCAAGACCTCAGCATCCAACTCACCTTCGGTAGGGAATGATTTCACTGGGAGTGGCTCCATACAGATGGGGCATTGAGGTGTGATGGCCTGGTTGTCAGAATTGGTGTTGCTACCCTTGTCTATAGCCTGTTTGATAGTTGGCCAGAAGGCTTCGGGGAGAGGCTTAGAAGGATGAGACATGTCGAAAAGGGGTACTTACCAGTGATAACTGACTGATGAAGTGAGACGAGATGTAGTTCGTATTGTGTAGACTTACCTTTTGTGTTTGTGATCTGTTTTTGGTGCAAGACTTACCTGGAGTGAAGAGTGAGAGGGCGATGGTGATGATGAGATGAATTTGCTACAGAGTTGGCATCAAATCATTTAATTATATAGCCACATCTAATGCAGTGGCTGAAGTCAGGCGCATCCAATGTTCACGGTCCATATTGTGAGTTAAACTTGAACTGTGACTTTCATGGCGTTGTTTTGCTTTCACTTGGTTCGGCCAGAACAATGACCGTTTGAACAACCTCTGTCGTGAACACTACCCCGGCAGGGGATGGCAATGACAAGGAAATAAACGACTTTGAACACAATAAGCGCGCCAATGAGTACCAATTGATTCTATCCTTTATCAGAAATCCTTCTATGCAGATGCCCTAATTTTCAGCCTCCTTTACCTCCTCCTCTCCCTTCCGCCTCTCAATCGCAATAATCTCCTCCACGGTCTTAGTGCTCACCCCATCGCCAAAGTACCTTTCCGACAGCTCCACACAGCGGAGGTTGGCGGACAATTTGTTCATCGTCTCCATCCACTCATCTGTAGGGTCACTATCGTAGACGATACCACCGCCAGCCTGCATATATGCCACGCCATCCTTGACGAGCATGGTCCGGATGGCAATGCACGTGTCCATGGGTCCTTCGTCGACGAAAACCTTGTCCTCAGGCTTGCTGCCCTCGTCCACGCGCACAATGTCGTATCCAAACCATCCTGCAGCTCCGGCGTAGATACCCCGCTTCTCCTGCTCCAGGTCGTAGATGAGCTCCATAGCTCGGATCTTGGGTGCGCCAGAGACAGTTCCCGCGGGGAAAATGGAACGCAGAGCATCCCAGCGCGTGCACTCGGGACGCAGAACTCCCGAAACCTCGGAGGTGATGTGCTGAACATGGGAGAAGCGGTCAATTCTCATGAGCCGGTCAACCTTGACGGTTGTGGGGTGGCAGACTCTGTTCACGTCGTTGCGGGCGAGATCCACCAACATGACGTGCTCAGCTCTGTCCTTCTTGGAAGCCAAAAGCTCGGCAGCGAGTCTATCATCCTCAGCGGCATTCTTTCCACGGTGGATTGTACCGGCAATTGCGTGGTTGACGATACGGGGCCTTGATCGAGCTTCGGCAGCTGAGTAGCCAAATCGTGAGTCCGAGGGTAACGGGGCGTATCCATCAGTCTTCATCAGACACTCCGGCGAAGCACCAACGATGTGAAAGTCGGCGCATGAGAGGAAGAACACATAAGGTGAGGGGTTGAGTGTTCGGAGAGTTCTGTAAATGTTAAAGGGGTGAAGTTTGGTGCTTCGGCGGAACCGTTGTGAAGGCACGGCTTGAATGATGTCTCCCTTGACAATGTATTTCTTGAGCTCCTTGACGAATGTTTCGTAACCTTTGCGGCCAACGTTTGAAGAATATTGCTGCTCTGACTCTGATTGCTCACTGAGAGTTTGGGCAGGTAAGGGAGTCTCGGGCTGGTAGATGATGTCGAGGGTCTTTCGGAGTGTCTCACAGGCCTCGTCGTAGGCAAGTTGAAGGTCGTCGGAGGGGCTCTTGGGCAACTTCATATGTGTGACAATTGTCAATGTCGAGCGGAAGTGGTCCAAGGCGACAATGGTGTCGAACAGCATGAACAAAGCCTCGGGAATCTGGAGGTTGTCTTTGAGTGGACGCTCAGTCTTGGGCTCAAAGTACTTGATACAGTCATATGAGACGTATCCAACGGCACCACCAGACAACTTTGGAAGCGCCAACGAAGGAATATCTAGAACTCGATCATTGGAAAGTTCGGCCGCTAGGGTCTTGAGAGGGTCGCCATTATGTTCGTAACCGTCGCCAGTGGCCAGTACTTTTCGCGGGTCTAGAAGAGAGACTCAGAGGATGTCCAGCACAGGAGTCTCAAAGAAGCTTACTGGCACCAATAAAACTATATCGTCCAACCGTCTCTGTGCTTCCAGTCGCACTCTCGAGGAGAAATGAGTATTCGGCAGTTGCGCTGTAAGGGGTGAGTCAGAGGGTGGTTCGGCGGTGGAAGCATTGTAGTCTTTACCCCGATGACAGCTTAAGATAGATAGCTGAAGGAGTCAATAGATCGGCGGGAGCAGAAGCGCAAACGGGGAGAAGCGTGGGTTGAGTCGTAGGAGTCCATTCTTGGTTGAAGGCAGCTCGAGCTTCATCGGCAGTTGGCCGTATATCAAGCTGGTGTGGAAGATTAGTATGGGCCATTAAGTCTCGGTGAAGCTGATGGATGGGGAATGCGATAAAGAGGTGTTCTTACATGTGCTGCACACATCCTTATAGTGATTATCCCCGAATATCACGACAGATTGGTGGCTTGAGGACAAAGAAGGAGAACAATGGAAGGGCGGTTGGTGGAAAGGTGTTTGCTTCGGAGTCACTTTTTATCGATTGCCAAATGAAGACGCCTCAGATGTTAGTGGGGGCGGGGCACCGATAGCGGCAGGGTCGGCAGTTCCTGAGCGGTTGGTGTAGGGTAGATACTAGTCATGATGATCATGCAGTGATGCCTTGCGCACGAGGCATCATCTTCAGCCAAGCTCACTTCCGCATTTGGATTAGCGTGGAGCCGAAGCTGCCCACCAAGACTGGATCTCACGTTTACGCGAATCCACATGCGCTCAGGAACCATCATTTGAACCATCTTTAAGTCACTGATTCCGGCACCAATTCCGCTCGTTTTAAGCGATTGAATTAATCACTCCCTTATAAATGGACTTCTAATTCATTAGCAATCATGCCCACCGATCAGCACGAGGACTCGGTCGAGCCCACCGGCGATGTTGAGATGTCTGAGACCCAGAACACCCAGGATACTGCGCCAGAGGCTACCCAAGAGGGCGAGGAGAATGAGAATGCCGACAACACCGAGCTACCTTTCGCCGACTCTGAGATCGCAGAGCCTAGAGTTACCTTTGCAAATTATCTCATGAGCCCAATCGTCACCCTCCTCATCGGATCTGGCGACCAATCTATCCTCTCAGCACATCAGGGACTTTTGACACAAAGTCCCTACTTCAAGGACATTTGCGATAGATTTGTCGAGGACGGCGGCGTCAGTGCTCCAGAACCTTTGCGCGAGCAATATCTAGCCATGGACCCCTTCTAACCCCACCTACAGCCTCGTCAGATTGAGCTACCCGACTACGACATCGAGACCGTCGGCAGCTTCCTCGAATACCTCTACACAGGCGAATACTTCCCCAAGAAGCTTCCCGGCCAGCGCGTCCTCGAGTCCGACCCCTCAGTACCCTCGGTCGACAACAGCGGCGACCAGCTCCTCAAGCATGCCCGCATCTACACCCTCGCCGAGAAGTTTGGCGTCGCCGGTCTCAAGGGCCTCTCGAGCTCCAAGATCCACTGCGTCAACTCCACAGCCAAGGGCGAGATCGCATACGCTCGCTACGTCTACGCCTACACCAGCAACGACGACACCACCATCCGCGCCCCCGTCGCAAGCTTCTGGGCCACGCGCTCGCACACCCTGCGCGCCGAGGCGGAAGAGGAGTTCAAGGCTCTGTGTTTGGAGCACCCCCAGTTCGGATACGATGTTCTCAGTATGTTCGCGGGCTTGGAGAGGGGAGATTTTTGTGCTAACGGTGTTCAGCCCGTGTCTTGGACGACAAGCTCAAGAGGGAGCGCAACGACAAGATGCATCCCGCCACAAGCAGCGGACGAAAGCGTGCCCGCCACAGCAGCGGATCGCGTGCCGATTAAAGAATCACGCATTGGGAGAATTGGGACGGCGCTATATGGATCATTGGTACATACCGAACATTGTTTCTTTTGTTTCCTGGGTTATTTAGCGGGACGCATTTGTACTGTAACACTACATGGGATCTACACGAGTGCCGTCGGCGGTCACTTGCAAGACTTGGTAATGGGGGCAAAAATAGACTCTTTTGAGCTATTGAATTCTTGTTTCTTAACTAAGCTCCACCATGTACTGTCTCTAACGTCTGCTTCTGACCTAGTAAGAGTAAGGGTCAACAACAAGTTCCGCCAACAAGCCTTCCTGGTATGAAAGACCATTATCGACCTCCCGCTTCACACGGTTGTACTGAAGATAGAGCGGAACTTTCCCCTTCATCGACTGATCCCAGGCCTAACAGCATTAGAGAAAGTGAACTCCAGGGGTTGTGTGAATTACTTACCATATGCTCTGGTCCATGCAGATGGTCCTCAATATCCTCACCAAACGCTCTCCCATAACAGGGCAAGTCCAAGACACGGCACACGTCTATCTCTTCCTCATATTCGAAGTCGACGAAAGAGTTTGGGAGGTGCTTGTACAGTTGCTCGAGGGTATACTTGGTGTCCTCTTTCGCCATCACTTCACTCTTGGGCTCGTCGTGTTTATTCCACCGTTTGATTCTGGCGCTGATGAACTCGGAGAGTTTCTTCATCTCTGCAATGTTCTTTTCTGTGATGTTGGCGGGTGTTTCGTCTCTGATCTTGTTTGCTTTCTTGACCTTTAGTGCTTTGATCAGGGCCGATCTCTCCTTTGAAAGACCGACTTTCTCTTTCTTGAGTTCGTCCCGCTCCTTTAAGAGACCTTCAATGGTCTCTCTCTTGTTCTTATTCCTCTTGCCGGCTTTGTAGTTGTCGACTTTGCTGGCACCTTTTCTGGATAGTATGGCCATTTCCCTGTCGAAATTGTACTTGGGCTTCTTGGGTTCGGGATCTTCATCGTCTTTGTCATTCTCAAGCACAAGTTCACGGATCTCTTTCTCCATTTCTTCGTTTGCTGTGCGAGTTAGCCAGACGAGAAGAGAAATGACAGAGGAGATACCTACGGATAGCAACGAGACACTCGCGAGTGCAACTCTTGCATTTGCTTGGATCGTCATCGGACTTCTCTATCGCCGCCTTGCTATTGGGATATCGCAGGATAGGAAGCGTTGGATTGTGGCGAAAGTAAATCTTTCCGTTTCCATCCCGCCAGACGACTAGTGGTTCAGGTTTGGGCTCAGGATCCGGCGGCTCTGGTGGGCGAGTGATGATTTGGATTGTAGGTTCATGCATGGTTACGCAGGCGGAAGATGACGAGTCGAGAGTATGAAGTTGTTGATGAGAGGAGAAAGGTGAGACGATGAGGTCTAAAAGAGGAGTTATGCACGTGCTGGAGGAAAAGATCAAAGCAAACAAAGGATAAATAAATTCGTTTGGTGATGAATCACGGGCTGCCACTGGCAAGTGTAACTTGAGCTAGCAGTGTTGCTGACCTTCCAACACCAGACGCGATTAGCCACGAATACGCATGAGAAATAGAATTCAACCCAAAATATGGAAATACATGCGATGAAAGAAAAAGTAGACGAGGTAAGCGGGTGGGTGATGTAAGTGATTGCTTGCCAAAAGGGGTTTGTGTTGGTAGGTACTTTACTAAAGCACCATCCGCATCTCGATACGCCAAATCAGGACAATATATTCAGTAACTACTCAAGAGTAAAAAACTCACAGAAATACATGGAAATCTTCTGATAGTTATATTTGGTCCAGAGTCAACTCATTCTGCGTTGTCCTCGTCTTCAAATCAAGTAGTCACAGTGACGACAGATGCATTTATCTCAGGTACTGTCGTAGCCCCTAAACAAGTTTCTATACCGATTTCCCTCGATATGTTGAAGTTCATGAGAATTATCACGATTCATACATGGTAAAAGTGTCATCAAGTTCTGGTCTAACATCCAGTTTTATTTCCTAAATCTGATTACCTTAAGCTCAGGACCAGTCTGTCTCGTCATCAATCATAATACCACAAAATGCAAATACAAAATGCCAGTCATAAAAACAAAGAGACCTAAGCGGCTCGGCTCACAGTCCATTGTTGAGCTCTAAAACATGACAACTCTTCATATACTCATCAACCAACATATTAGATAGATGATCCTCGAGAGAAGACACGACGAAAGAAGCCCTGTGTCTTGGGCGTTTGGGGAAGTGGCTTCATAGTCTTCATCAAGTAGAGACACAGACCTACATTGGAAAAATCATGCGAAATCCAAAAAGTCTTGAACTTCAGCACCCAAACCTTTCTATAGGCTTCCCAGATAGTCTTCAACTCCTCTGGAGTTTGGAGTCTTCGCACGCGCTCACAAATAGGTCGCTTGGGGTCTCTAGAACCATCCATATACAGGAACCCGCCAGGGCGTGGGTCCAAAAAGCCAAGGGAGATGTACTGTTGGGTGGACTCGACTTCGTCTTCCCACTTGTAGATACCAGTGTACTGGGTCATCTCGGAAAATGTATACTGGATTTCACATCCGGCACATCGAGCGTAGATGAAGCCACCCTCACTCAGAACAAGAGGGACTTTAGAATAGTCGGCGACCAAGTGTGGGATTCGCTGACCATGGCATAAGTGCCCGCACTCGGGATGATACATGATCGCAGTGTTGCAGACAGGACACGAGTAGGACTCTCTTCCTCGAAACTGTTCGGACTGTCTGTCGAGCCAGTTCATGAGACAGCTGCCGCCTACCATATGGCCACAGGGGAGGATCTGGGCGTCATGAGAGATTCTGCGATCTGTTTTCGGGATCCAATGGATGGAACCACTTCCGGATCCTTGCGTTGACATCTGCTCTGTGCAGATGGTGCAGGCCAGATCGATGGGGCGGAGTTGCTGGGGATCATCCTCGACTGCCTTTTTGAAGGCTGGCCAGTAGATGTCAGTGATGGGCATTGGATCACTGCGGATTGCGTCGATGATGGATCCAGGGTTCATGGCTGGATTCATGGTGGGCATGATGAAGGGTGTGTGATCTAGAATAGATGAGATGATCTAGGATCTGGATGGAGAGGTTATGATAAGGAGGAAAAGATTACACTTCATCTCTACGGAATAATGTTTAGTTTATATTCCGTTTACTTTTTCCATTCACTTCGTAGCCTGGAGTGCTGTTCATCAGATACAGCCGTTTCTGCCACTGTCGTAACTCGATCACTGGCAGAGCGCAAGTGAACATTTAGCACAAGAATGGGCACTTCCAGTGTTATCATAAATAAAAATCAGTCACTGGCATATGGTGATACCAAGACGAACTTCTCCATGATGTGAAGCCCGAGTACCGTTCGTATGCAGCCATGGCCTTGCCTTTACTAGCACTCCCCGAGTTTCAGTCTACTACATATGCTTAGCTACTGGGAGTGGTAGTCAATAGTACTCTTTGTCTCATCGCCAGTTGGCACTGATACAGTAAAGAACAACAAATTGTCAAGATTGTTCGGCATCCTAAAAGGGGAGTGAACAAGAACAATCTTTGTCAACGGCTATGTTCGTGAGTGTCTGATTGACACTGCCGAGCAGCAATGGACATTGAATCAGTAGTTAAAGCAGCTAAATAAATATAATTTCCCTCAATTATCTTCGATAAGCATACCTCTCCCTCTAGATTTACTGCATTCTCCTGAACTTATCATCTCTTGTGCTCAACTAACAAGAACCACCAATGTTCATGTCGTCCCGAACCGCCATCAACAAGATGTCCCTCAACAGTATTATCCACAAAGATCCCGAATCCAACAGACCAGCATGGACAACACCATTCTGGCCTCGCCTCAGAGATTCCCTTATCGAAGACCCAGAGCTCTTCAACCACCTCCGTCTCGAGTGCGGAATCTGTCTCAATGACATGTCTATCTTTCGCCACGACCACACCTTTAGCCCCGATGAAGGCTTGACCCATGAGGAGAAAACCAGGTCTCACCGAGCTTGCATCTTACCTTGCGGTCACATGTTTGGACACAAGTGTCTCCACACCATGATCGACGAAGCCTTGAAGGAAATGGAAGAAGGACAAGTCCCCATATTGACTTGTCCATCTTGCCGTGAGGTTTTCTCACCTCACAGAGATTGTCCTCATCCCCACTCAGGTAAGTTCATGCCAACCACAATGGAGGGCGTTTACAGAATCCCGCCTACGTTCTCAGAGAGTGGTGTTCTCTCGCATAACTGCGGTAATTGTATGGCCGTCGAGACAATCTCCTCCATCGCAGCTCTAGTCCCCTTATTCACACCCACACTGGAACTCACAGAGAGAGAGACGCTCCTCACGTACGGCACTGCGGGACGCCATAACTGGACTACAAACCTTGCAGAAGACCCAACTATCTACGATGAAGTTGTGCGGGAGATTCCTATGGGGGATGAGCTGCAGCGGATCTGCGATCAGATCTCGGAGCGTCTGGCGCAGATCGCAAAGAAGAGATGGTACTCTGAGGACTTTGAAGGGAGGTTCAAGTTCAAGGTTATGCTCCAGAGGGACAGTCTTCCCAGAATGAATGAGTATTTGGAAGCTGTCGAGGTTTTGCAGCAAGGGCTAGCGAACGGTGACTTGGTATTGAGGCTGGAATAGGGAGGATTTTGTTCTTCTTATTTTATTTGTTAGATACCCGAATAGATATTGTTTTTGTCTAATCTGTGCGTTCAAAGTCGATGACTAAGCCGGGAAGTAGTTCGATGGTCTTGGGGCTCTCCTTTGTGCCCAGGAGTGTCAACTTGACCTCTGCCTTGCCATTTCCACCTTCGAGTTTCGATAGGACGACCTGGCTGCTTCCTGAGTTAGGTCCAGCTGGTAGGTCGTAAGGCCAAGAGTACCCGTCCGATCCAGAGGTTGCGTTCTGGTTGTGAATAGCATCGTAAACAGGCTTGTATGTCGCAATATCCTTCTCAGGAAGTAGAACAGTGACTTTCGATACACCCTGGGCATTCGAAGGATGTTTGGTATACTCATGCAGCCCATCACCACTCTCCGCCTTGAACGGCGATCGCAAATGCCTCTCCGTCTCATCAACACACCAAAACGGCACCGTCCCAGGAAAGATCCTCCCGCCCTCCGCATTCAACGCCACCGAAACAAGACACTTCATCAAAACCCCATCAGGCCTGTGTCTCTGTAGCGAAGTGAGATCACCATACGTAACACCATTCCCAGCATCAGCCACGCGCTTCTGCAACTGAGCGTAATCCGCTTCACTGGGCAGTGTATGAGCCCAATCTGCGATCTTCCCCTCTTCGAGGTTTCCCCAGCGGTGAGCACGGCGTTTCTCAGGGTCTACGCCTTCGACGAAGGCGATGAACTCGAGATATGTGCCGTCGGCGAGATGGATTAGTTTGTTGACTGTTAGGCCATCTGCATGGGCGCCTCCGTCGATTACGAGGAGGGAGTCTTTGAGGGATTGGGTTACGGTTTGGAGGGTTTGGTAGGAGACAAGAATGGCGAAGTGGTCGAGAATTGGGAGTGACATTTTGAGTCGTTGAGAAGTTGTTTGTGATTGTGTTGGATGAGGGTGTTGATTTAAGGTTGTTGCAGACCAAGACACTGCGGGGGTTCGGGGTTGGTTCGGAGGAGGTGCATGACAAGCTTGGCTTAGAAGCCATGATTGACCTCATCGTGCCTATTCAGCATAAGTTGAAATTCCAGAACAAATACGTTCATTTGGTCAAATCTAGTTGATTTACTGTGTTATAGAATGCATTCCGTCTGTCAATGTTTTGAGCTTCTGTGCCAAAGCCTCATCGGGCCTCGACAGATATCCCGAGCAAGACATTGAACACCAGTGCGCATCGCTTCAGGTCGGTCGAGTTCGATTCAGTGATACTCAGAAATTATTTGGTAAAGTTTCGGCGTATCATTCACGTGCTGTTGTCGTATCAGTATGAATGACTACTAATATGGCTACTGCGATGCAAGTGCACTTCTGAGGCCTGCGACATCCATGGAAGGTCAAGATTATGCGCCGACCTCCCGAGAAATAACTACCGATGACAAATCAATTATGATTAAAGTAAGTATGGAGGATCTATGCATCCTCTGTCAGCTTACACGGCGCCTCAGTTCCGTCAGCCGATGATCCCGTTGGTGACAGAGAACTGTAGTGTTAGGCAATAGTCATTGAGGCATCAGACATCTCAGCATCATGTCGAATCGGCTTACACGTTTCGAGGGTGGTCAAAGTTCATTCAATAAGCACTAAATCCTACGCTGCAGTCAGCGTTCCGGACTCACTAGTATCTGAAGGCGAATATGTGAGATTGTGCCAGACGAGTAGAGTAAAAAGGTCGCGGGGTTGGTATATATACTAGCATTATGTCCGTTTAATAGTCTTAAGGATAAACATCCCATTGTATCAATCCTTAGTCAGTGAAATGACAACCCTCTACCAACAAAGCGTTCCCGTGCTGGTCAAGTACCTCAAGAACTTATCCTTCATGCTCCAGAAGGGTGCCAAGTTCTGCGATGAGAAGGAAATGAAGCATGAAGACCTTCTGACATACCGTCTGATTTCCGATATGAGAGGGTAAGTTACTCGATTCTCATGCGAATCTCGACTAACACTTGTTAGACTCCCCTACCAAGTCCAATCCTGCTCCAACACAGCCAAATTCCTCGCCTCCCGTCTCGGCGCACAAAACATTCCCACATTCGAAGACGACGAGCAAACATTCGAACAGCTCCAAGCACGCATCACCCGCACAATTGAAGTCCTTGAGGGCGTGGACCCTGAAGTCATCAACGGTAAAGAAAATGAGGAGATTATAATGGAGAGTAAGATGGGAAACTTCCGCTTCACGGGCCAGCGATACGTGAGCGAATATGTAATCCCCAATTTCCATTTTCACCTCACGAGTGCATATTGCATCATGCGCACACAGGGCGTTCCATTGGGTGCGTTTGACTACCTGAAGGATGTTTTTGAGAAGGTTTAAGAGTTGGTATGCGGGAAGAGAGGATATTCATCAAAGGAGGGGCGGGAATTGCCCGATGAGGAAATTTCTCTTAAAGAACTCAGCTAGACAAACCATTCAAGAACAAAACTCATAAACAACTTCACAAAAAACAATACCAGTTTCAATTTCTTCACAATGTCTGAGCCACCTTCAACTCGTGTTCAAACCCCAGATGTCGAGTCCTCAGAAGTCCAAAGGGCCGCTCACGTCCAATCCCTCATGGACCGTCTCCGCGCCAAAAGCCCCATCTACAACTTCATTATGTCCTCGGCGGAACTCATCAGCACAACGCAGGGCAGCGTCACAACACGCCTCGTGCTGAACGAGAACCATCTAAACAGCAGTGGAAACTTGCACGGCGCTGTATCAGCTACCATCATTGACTTCACGACTGGTCTGGCTATTGCGAGCTGGGATCTGAGGGACACGACTGGTGCGAGTGTGGATATGCATATTAGTTATCTAAGTGCGGCGAGGTTGGGGGATACGGTCGAGATTGTTTCGACGGCGGATAAGGTTGGGGGCAGCGTGGCGTTTACGTCGATTAGGATATCAAAGGTTGAGAAGGATGGGGGGTTGAAGTTGGTTACTCTTGGACAGCATACGAAGTATGTAAAGGGTTCGCAGCCAAAGACTCAATGAGATACATGGATTAGAGGGTTAGAGCAATTCACTACAGCTAAATAGACTCGTTTGCTCTGTTGAGAGGAATGGTAGTTCCTCACTCACCGACCGGTGCCAAACATATGAGGCGAAAGCGATGTACAAAAAGTTTCATCACATTAGGGTTCTTTGAAAGAAAAGATCTCCAATTTTCACAATGATATCAAAATCCTATAATCACATGCTCAAAACTTCAGTGGTTCTGCCCCGACCTTCTTCGCCTCAGCATTCAAAGCATCAATCTCAGCTCGCACAAGCGGAATACCAGTCTTCTCCCTCTCTTTCTTAGCCAACTGCTCGATCTCACCGGGGAAGTAAATCCTCTCCACCCCAGCAGCCTTTTCTGACCCCACAACACGTTCGTAAAGGTACTGCATTCTCTCTCTAAACTCATCCAAGCTCATAAAGAGGTCAGGCTTGATGGCTACCAAGAAGTGGCCAACATCTGCAGGCTTGGAAGGATCGTAGGGGCCAGTGACATGGCCAGCGAAAGCTGAACCTGATAGAACTCCTGAGAAGACATCCATCATGATTGACAGTGCAGAGCCCTTGGGGCCGCCCATTGGTAGCATGACACCACCGAGAGCAGCTTCGGGATCATCTGTTGGGCGACCCTCAGCATCAAGGGCCCAGTCCAACGGGATCTTCTCACCCCGCCTCTTCGCCTTGTAAATCTTCCCCCTCGCGGCCACAGAAGGCGCCATATCAAGAATGAAATTCTCCATAGGTCCTTTACCAGGCGCACCACAAGCAATAGGCGAAACACCCATCAGCTTACTCTTTCCACCAAACGCAGGCAGTGCAGGACTAGAGTTCGTAAACACCAGACTCATCATATTCGCATCAAGAGCCTGCTGCACGATCCAAGCACTCATGCCGAAATGGTTAGAGTGCTTGATGCTCGCCATACCAATGCCAAACACCTTTGCAGACTCTATCGCAGCTGCCATGCCCTTGTGAGCAGCTACAAAGCCAAAGCCGTTCTGGCCGTCGACTTGAGCTACGGCGGGCGTGACTTGGGTGAGGATGGGCTGGGCGCTGGGGTTGAGGACGCCTTGACGCAGACGCTCCATATAAGAGGGGATGCGGTTCATGCCGTGGGTGTCTACACCGCGGAGATCGGCGGCGACTAAGCAGCGGGCGATGATGGAGGCATTCTCAGAGGGGATGCCGTTGCCTTTGAGGACGTCTTCGACGAAGCGTCGTGCTTCTGAGGCAGCGACTGGGAACTTCTGGGAGTCTTGGTTTTCAGCCATGATGGAGTGAATAAGTCAATATGAGCTCAATCTAGTGTTTTAAAGACCACTAAGATGTTTTAATTCTTGTTGGTTCTAATGTTGAGCGATCCTCTCCATTCTTTTAATACTCAGATGTCACTGGAAATACGAGCGGGGAAAGCCCGTTCTCTCAAAGGCGTTAAAGCGGCATCTCCCCGCTCGACGGATTTTTGCCATCCTCACATCTACATCCCTTACACTCAGCACATCTTTACATGCCGAGAAACTCGATCCGTTACCGGCAGAATTACGAAAATGCCCGGGGCGAGGAATTCCAATGGGAAGCGACCCCATCAGGCCTCTTTGCCCGATCGGAGTGCTCCTAGGACACGCATGGCCTGTTCTCGGTGTCAACGCCTGAAAAGAAAGGTCCGTTTAGCACCAACTTTGGATCCATCGATTTGCTAAGCCGATATTCAGTGTAATTTGGAGTTGCCGACCTGTAGCAATTGTCGTAGCGCTGGCGCTGAATGTGTTGATGGGAAATCATCCCGTGCTGATGCTGCACCTCGACAGTATGTGACCAGACCATTTACAGCCTACCATCATGGTTAATAATTGATGATATAGATACATCGCATCTTTGACGAACCGGATTAATTGGCTAGAGTCAATTGTCCGATCGAATTGTCCCGACGTCGACTTATCTCAAGGTCCTCCCGTCAACATAGGAGAATCCTGGAACGACACCAGCTCTGAAGTTACAGACACTTCTGCTCTACCAGCACCTGAGCCCCTTCAACAGAGCTCTGAGATTGTGCAAAATTCGGAAAATGATCCACCGGTAACTCAGCCAGCAGCACAGCCGGTAACATCTACTTCGGAGCCCACAGGAGCCAGTGCCATGACCCATGAGATTGGGCTGGTTTCTCTTGCTACGAACCAAGATCCACGATATATTGGCCCATCCAGTGGTTACTTCCTAGCACGGGTTTTGTTAGACTCTGCCTCGAAATCAGACGATAGCGTTGGTCGCGCGAATCGCAATGCTCCGTTCCCTATAAGACTGGTTGAAGCTCTCCAGGGGCCTCTTCCACTCCCTCCCAGAGACACGGCAATGCAATTGTGCGAAGCATACTTCACCGCTATTAATTTACAATATCCCATTCTGAACCAAAACAGGTTTTACGACTACCTGGATATGGCTTATGATGAAGAGTGCCAGGACCCTGCTGCCCACTTCCAAGTCTTTATGGTTCTGGCGATAGGATCTGCTGTCCTTTCTGCTCGAACCAGAGCTCGCATCCCTGCAGAATCATACTGCCTCTCCGCACTACAATATCTCGATGAACTAAATGTCGAGAACTCGTTGAAAGGAATTCAGTGTCTTGTCTTGCTCCTCATCTTCACCATACACAGCCCGTGTGTTCGCCTCAATGTCTGGTATCTCAACTATCACTGCATCGCTGCCTTGGTCGATCAAGGTCTCCAAAGGAACATCAGCATGGGACCAGATTACAGTCTGCTTAATCAAGAGATGCGGGCCAGGATCTTCTGGGTCATTTACTCCTTCGATCGCATCATTGCGACAATGATGGGTCGACCAATTGGACTACGCGATGAAGGGTGTGAGCTCC